TTCTGGTATGTATGTATGTGTATATGTACATAGACACCCACACCCATATACATACACACACACACACACACATGCATACATACAAACATACATACATATATATACACACACACACACATTCACACACACATTCACACAGACACACATACTGTGTTTTTTTATTTATGTTTTCTTGATTTATCTTGATAAATAGAAATATTTGTGGTTTCAGTCAAATTTTATTTTTAGAATTTTCTGAATATTTTGATTATTTCTTGCCAGTACTTTTTCTTGTGCTGGCCAAATCACCACACATAATGAATTTCCCTTTTTACTTCCAAAACTTACTGTTTTATGATTTTTCTGTTTTAATAATTATTGATGAAATTATATACCATTTATACAATATTTTATACCTATTTTCTTTCAATTATAACTTTGATTATATTTTATTGATTTTTTTCCATAGCATTTCTTGATAGGGTACTATGATTATTTCTTTGAAGTTTTGCATCCATTTTACCATACAATTAGTTTTTCTTCCATTTCCATAAAAAAAGAATATTTCCTTTCCTTGTTTAACTATATAAGAATATTCAGCAAAAAAAAACTGAACAATTATTTTTAAACATCTGATTAAGATGAGGTAATAGTCTATAGTTTGTAGCAAAGATTTAAGCATTCCTGAATTATATGTTTCAATGTATCAGTTCAAAATCTGACCCCATCTTTTCATTATACAAAATTAAACACAAAATCTTTTTGCGTATTTCAATACTTGCTATTTATATATAGTTGAATATTGATTTAAAATAAGCAAACAATAGATGATTAAACTTAGATGAAAGTGTTGGGGGAAGCTTAAGATAATAATTACTTGGAGCAAGAATGGCAGTAAGCATAACTGTATTTTTTCTTTTTTTTAAAAAAAATCTTTCTTACTTTCTGTTCTTGTTAATTTTGTATATTTTATTGCAGTGAAAATTTATAATAAAATATTAATTCCATGCTACATTTTTATTTATGTATTGCTGTAAAGTTGTTAATAAGACTCAAAAACTAACTGATTTGTTACGCATGTAATTAACCAGAAGAAAACAATTCCATCTGTAAACAATTGTTAGGATTCTTCTAATCCCCCAGGTGGAGGATTAGACTATAGAACTGTACTTTCAACAAGCTATCTGAGCACTGGAAAATGAAGATAGTTCACCTATAAAGTAGGAAGGCTATAAAAACATTGCAAAAATGTTTTTTGACACAAGAAATACTGTCCAGGTAGAAGGAAGATAAGATTCAACTAAAAGTCCTAGAAGTGAATGTCTCAAAGGCAATGAAGAAATTGAAGCTAAAAAGATACTGCCTATCTCAGCAAGGCAATGATCCAAAACTTACCTAAAAATCAATCAAAATGTATGTCTTATGTAGTGGGTTGCTTTGATAGGCAAGGAGCGACACAGCATCATGGTATAGCTTTATTGTAGTAGAAACAGAACTCCTTGAGCGACAGGTAATGGCCAGTACTTAAAAACTTAAGACCTCAGGTGTTCTATTCATCCAATTACGTGCCTAGAATCTCCCGCCCAAATATGAATGTTTTTGCCGAAACGGTTGGGGATAACTATAAGGGTCCCCTGAGGGCTAGCCTCAGCTTGACAGGAAATGCCCACTTAGCTTCTCCACAATGGGCGGGGGTCAATGTCTTGTACAAGTACAGTACATAACACCCCTCCCCCCTTAGATGGCCGTCATCCTCGGTCTATTCAGCACTCGCAGTCCTTGAGGTAGGCTGGCGGACCTTGCGTTCTGGTGGACCGGTGCAATGCCTGTGAGACATCCGTCTCGGGAGGGCTATGATCCTGCTCCAGTCTATCGGACTCGCGCCCGCAACTGCTGACGACTCTCCCGTCTCACTGGAGGCGGCCGTGATAGATTGGGGCAGACACGGGGGAATGTCAGGGGAAAGTCGTCTCCCTGGGCGTCTGAGGAAATCTCTGGTACTTTCTCAGCATCTGCCCCCTGAGTGGTCTCCATTTGCCGATGCCGTAACTGGTTGATGTGGCATCTAAGCACGCGCCCATCACCTAACTCATACAACAAGGGCCCCTTTATCTTGGTCATCCTAGCTACCAACCAAAGCGCTCCGCCCCCGTAGTTCCTGGCCCAGACCAAGTCACCTAGCTACAAGTTCCTGGGTGGCTTTGGTTGAGCTGTCTCTGCCGCTGCTCTATCTGGCTAAAGTCGGTCGAGCTTCATCATGAGCCGGCGACCCCACCTCAACTCCGCTGGCCTGCAGTACAGGGAGTTGTGTGTTGGCACAGTAGGAAGTTCGCCAAGCGCTGATTCCAGTCCCCCATGGTTATCCACTTGAGTGACTCCTTTGTCGTCCTGACCATCTGTTCTGCCTGGCTGTTGGAATCGGGGTGGAATGGAGCAGACATTGCATGCCAGATCATGTTGGCGTTTAGGAAAGCCTGAAACTCTCCTGCTGTGAATTGTGTCGGACACAATCACATCTGGCAGACCGTGCATGGCGAATAGTCGGCGCAACTCATGGATGACTCTGGTCGTTGTCATCGATGAGACCAATACCACTTTCAGCCATTTTAAGTAGCTGTCCATTTCAATGAGGAATAACTGCCCTTGGAACGGAACGCCCCTCTGTGTGTGACAATGGTTTGTGCCTCAGCAGTAGCGTCGTCGACTGGCAGCTGATGGTATGCCTGGGCGAGGTCTATCTTAGCAAAGATTCGACCTCCTTGCAGTGAGACAAGTATGTAGCTTACCAGGGGAACCAGGTAAGCATGCTGTTGCAGTGCCTTGTTTATGTTGCATGTATAATCTGCACATATGCGCACGTCCCCGTCGGCCTTGACTGGGGTCACTATTGGAGTCTCTCACCGGCTGCTGTCCACAGGCTGGAGTACTCCTTGCTGCACTAGCTTATCGAATTCCAGGTCTATCTTCGGCTTCAACGCAAAGGGAACTCTGCACGGTTTTAGTCAGATGGGTGTTACCATTGGGTCAAGGTTGAGGGAAATGGGTGCCCCCTTGTATTGCCCCAGCTCTGGACTGAACATGTCGGTATATTGCTGGCATACTCCGGCTAGCTCACGCTGATTCCCAGGGCTTTGAACCAGTCCAGCCCTAGGATGCTGGTGCATTGTCCCTCCACAACCGTGCTGAGGGGACCCTCGAATTCCTTGAATTGCACGTTGATGATAGCCTCCCCCTTATGGGGACGCGACAGTGTTGAAAGTCCGTTAACACTAAACTGCATGTTTTAAGCGGGACTTGCCGTCTGCTTTGCTTGCAGATGTGGTCAAAGGTTTTGGAAGAGATAATGGACAATACTGATCTTGTATCTAGCTCCATGGGGCATGGGACGCCGTGCAGCCTTGGCTGTAATCTATTTTTTTGCTTGAGAGCATGTTTAGCTCCTGTGCGTTGTATCTGCTGTCTCCCCGAACAGTGTTCTATTCGGGTCTGCCCTGGGGGTCATTTCCCTCTTGGCTGTTGTGTTAGGGTTTTCGTGTCCTGCTGCTGGCCTCAGCAAACCTTGGCAATGTGGCCCTGCTTCCCACAGGCACGGCATACAGTTGTGTGGAATCTGCACTCCACTCGTTCATGTTGGCCCCTGTAGCTCGCGCAGTTCAGCGCTGAAGCTGCTTGTTCCGTGGATCGTGGCCGTCGGAGTGACTCTCGTCGCAGCCGATCGACCTCTTCGTCCTCACTGGATTCCACGGAGCCTTCGGCGGTCTCGTGGTTGACCGCTGCAGGGTTGGTGTGTGTGCTTTAGGTGGCCGGAGGGTCTTCATTGCTCCTCCGGCAGCCTCATCCGCCATGACTTCCTTCAGCACATCTTGGGAGTTCAATTTTTCGATGGTGAAAAGACGTTGTTGCAGTTCTCTGTTCCGCAACCCACAAACGAGCCTGTCTCAGAGATGGTCTTCCAGGTCAGGGAACTCACAGTTGCGTGAAGCTTGGCGAAGGACTGCCACAAACTCTGCTGCTGACTCCCCTGCTCTCTGGTCAGGTTGCTCGAATGCATGGTACCAGGCGATGACTGATAACCTGGGCTCGAAATGTTCTTTGAATCTTCTTTGTAGGTCGGCATAGGTGATCATTTCTATGCTGGCCGGGGCTATTAGGTTTTCCACAATGTCAAATGTGTCTTGCCCACAGACACATAGCAAAGTTGCCACCTTCAGCCCATCGTCGCTGATCTGGTTTGCATGGAGATAATTGTCTACCTGGGAGACATATACGCTCCACTGTTCGGGGTAGGTTATGTCAAACTCTTGAATTCTTCCCAATTTGGCCATTCTTGGGAGATTGTGTGTGCGGAGTCTTGCCTGTGCCGCTGCGGTTGGAGCTTTGCTGATCCACAGAGTCCTGGGGATGGACCTGTTGTGCCTCCAGTGTGTCTTACTGGCAGGCAGGTGGGGAGCAGGTTCTTTCAGGGCTCGTAGCCTGGTCTCTCACCGGTCTGTTGATCAGCAGCAGCCTCCTTCGCTACAGTATCCGACCCTCGTCGGTAGTCTTATGTAGTGGGTTGCTTCGATAAGCAAGGAGCGACACAGCGTCATGGTATAGCTTTATTGTAGTAGAAACAGAACTGCTCGAGCGATACTCTTTGCAGTTATTACAAATCTTTGGGGAAATCTCAAACATGCAAATAATTTCTGAGTTAGAATCATTCTGCATGGAAGAGTGGGGGGAGGGGGAATCCAAGCATAGAAACAGAAAGAATTTTGGCTGGTTACAGGAAACAATTGATAGTTATCATTTCTTTCAAAGTAAGGGTTAAAAATTACTTAATCAAGTGACATCTGAACTTCTGTGGCTGCCATATTCATATACAATTTGATCCTTAATTTTTCCATTCAACTATATAAATTAATGTCACCTATTCTCACAAATTAATGATATAGCATATCATATGGACTATGTTATAGTAATCATGATAACAGCATAAGAGTTAGGGAAATTAGATATATGCAAATGTATCAGCAACTTACCGGTGATGTTGTTAATCGAAGTATTGCTCCATTTTTAATTTCATTACGATTCTAAAAAAAGAAAATCCCAATGTTAAATACTGATATAATTTGACATATCATATCTCCATCTTCATATTTTTTTGGAAGGTTTTTGGAGACATCACAGAAAAATGGCACGTCTGAGCTTCAGCTAATTTCCTGAAAATGAAGAATAACCACTGCTTCCCCCCACATGAACCAAAAACATAAGAAGAGAAATGTAGAGTATGCAGTCTAATGCAATTAAATCCTATGGTAACGGATTTAGGAGTTAGAACATTTACATCCCAACAACTTTGCCTACTCACTTAACGAGCCTATTCAGGTTAGGTGAGAAATTAAACCACCCTGGAGGACATATATGGGGTTCCCCTAATCAACTTGCTCAAACCGAAGAAATTACTTGGATAAGTAGTGAAATGTTTCAAACCAACAAGAAAAGAAATTCAATTGCCATGATTCAATATTGCTTGTGAACAACTGGCTCTTAGCACTAACAAATTGATGGGTTACAACCTAAGGCAGAATAAAAATGAACTGTTCAGCCTAGAACATATGGCATTTTTTACCTAGGTATCCCACTGCATTTGATTCATATTTTCCTTATTCTTCACCATAAAATTACAATAATTCCAAAACTAAAGTTGAATTTGTGCTGTGCTATGGTAGACAGAAATCTAAATGAATAGGCAAGCTTATGATAAAATCATGCTTTGAGAAAAAAGGGAAGAGTGTACTTTGGGCATGTGAACTTTGTGAAATTGTATTCTTCTTCCCATCCATTCAAAACATGTTAAATTGCTGCATAGCTGAAGAGGACCAAATTGCAGCTTTTTCTCTGACAATCAACTGATGATTTTCTGTAGAAAGGCTACATCTGACATGTGGCAGTGAAACAGCTCCTTTTTCTGTCAGTGCTAGAAAGATATAGATTAGAATGAAAATATGTCTACTATTTTGATTTACTCTGAAATTACAACTATATCTGAAACCAGCACCATTAATGCATTCCAATATTTCATTATCTATCCATAAGATTATAAGTGAAGAGAGATATAGTCTCTCCTTTGAAAGAAAAGACAGGGGGGAAAGATATTTTGATTTTTGTTTGAAAACCAAAATGAAAGGTTTATAGCTTCAGTCCTTTTAAATATAAATTCATATGTTTTCCAGTTTTGCAGCAACTTCTAGTTTTCAAGCATAAGTTTAAATTACCACATCCTACGTCAAAGCTATTGTAAATTGACCCTATGAAACTTAACTCTATGCTGACGTCATATAATTCTGGAGCTTGTAGGCTGCTGAAACCCATCATTAAGCATCTGTAACACTGCAATGTTTCCTCGGGCATACTGCAATATACAATCTTAATACCACTGAAACTAGCCACTGAGATCTGATACCAGAAATTTGCCTTTTAAGCAAAACACATGAATACTAATATAGACATGAAAATATGCAGACATCAAATGGTTTTTTTTAAGCAACCAAGGACCTAAAAACTCAAGCAAAGTCTTTTATAATTTCATCACAATACAGACACCGACAGTCAAGTTGGATCACTCTGGGATATTTCTTGTTTTACTGATCAACATTGTATTATTGTAATGTTTGAAAAATGTTGGCCTAAATTACATAATTCACACCTAGAAAAATGAAGTCATGTGAAATATTTTCTTCTTGCCCTTGAGAAATAATCAAGCAATATGTCTCACAGCAATTTATATGAAAGTGGTATCTTCAAATTCTGAAAGCAAAATAGTGATTTGCTTTCTATCCCCTAGTTTATTTTGGAGGGGCAGGGTACAGTGGGGATTGGTTTGGTTTGTTGGTAAATAAAATTGTTCATAACCTTAGGCCATGAAAATTCCCTGCAAATACAAATGAATGTGTGGAGGAACTAAGAAGTTACAGTATAGTGTATGAAAATTAAGGCTTTGTTTTCCCCTCAATTGATATCAGTCAGCAGAATAGAAGTGATTTATATGCATGAAATTGTATGTACAACAGAAAGACGTAAATATCCAGTGTCAATGCAAGACATGTGCTTAAGCCCTCTGAAGCAGGGATGAAAAAAAGATACGATATTCCAGTAGTTCCCTAGGTAACCAGAAATAGATCACAAGACTTCTGACAATCATTTATTTAATGATGGTAACAAATTACTCCCCCCTTTTCCTACTTGATTCCTTAAAAAGTGGGCAATGATTAAGAATAGATATTTTTCTGGAAAATCTAACAGTTCATCTCAGTTTTAGTAATCAAACAATATATCAATAGATTTAGAATTATTTAACTGAAAAGATTATATTTTGCATTAACTGGTGAATCACAGTTTAGTAAGGACAAAGAACATAATTTAAAAGAAAATCAAGAAATATATTGCAATTTATCCATTTTGAATCTGAGGAGTTTCATAAATTCAATTCAGGCATAAATAATGACATTGTTCAATTACAATCAGAACAATCACAACAAAGCCTGAAAGTATCTTATATTGATAGAGGCAGGCATTTCCTATACGTGTCCTTGGAATTAATCCCAAAGCATCAACTCTCTAAATGGGAAATACCTGCTTTCCAGTTAAAAATCCAATCTTGATTTTCATTCCTAAACAATTACTTAAAAATCTGCTAGGAAACAGTTTATACATTAACCCAAGGTATATTCCACTTTAAACAGAATTAAACTACATTCAATATATCAACTTTTTAATAGAAACATTTTGCACAAATTTAATCTCAATAATATCAATGAAAGCAAAGAAAGTTCAAATTAAAAAACTCTGATCCTGACCACTGATTAAAAATTAAATAAAAAATGTAATTTTCATTTTAAAACATTTTTGTGCTGACATAATCCTGTCTTAATACAATGAAGCAAATGTCCACTTTACCACTTTTCTAGTTTCATACTTTTCAAATAACTTAATTCTATACATGCTAAGATTGTACTTATCATTGCTTGAGAAAAACCGAACTATACTGTATAGCAGAGGTATCCAACCTTTCTCGGTTGGCGGACTAGAGGGAAAGGGGGGGGAAAGCATTTTATGCGTGTGCATACACACACACAAACAGGGCCGTGAGAACGTGCAACACAAACGGGATGGTGCTAGCGCCCGCATGACACTCACTAGCACTGCCCCCTTTTTGCCATGTGGTGCCCTGTTTTCGCCGCAGCCGATCCCGCAGCCAGGTGGCCGTGGGCCAGTAGTGGGCCACGGGCCACAGGTTGTGGACCTCTGCTATATAGTAAGATGTTTTTACCATTATTTCACATATAGACAACAGGACCCTTTTTTCCTTCCATTTTTAATTTGTTTTATTTCATCACACTTGAACACAGTAGCTGGCCCTAGATGTTTTCTAATTTCAGCTTTATTGTGAGTAAGCAATTTCTTAATGTACATTGTTCAATTTCCATATGACTGCTAATGCCTTAAAACCAATGATATGAGCTTACAGTTCAGATTGTTTAATTAAAATAAAGTCAGAGCATCCAATTTATCAATGACAGTAAATAAAGCCTGATGGAGGCATCTTAATTTGTTTATCTAAAGCCATGGTTAAGAAGAATCAAGTTAATGCATTTGAGCATCATATTCTGGTTTAAGCCACTTTTCTTTATAATTTACAAGTACAGCATATGATACACCCTGTTGTTCACACAGAACTATGAATGACTGGACACATCTAACATTGTTAGTTTCAATTAAATTTAGTTCAGTTTAAAAGACACTTTATTCAGGCTGTTTCAATTCATCACTGTGTACCAGAATTTAACGTTCAACCATATTATTACAGCAAGAATGGAGTATCTATGTTCCTCTAGATCAGGGGTCTCTAAACTTGTCAACTGTAAGACTTGTGGACTTCAGCTCCCAAAAATTCCCAGCCAGCATAGCTGATGAGGAATTCTGGGAGTTGAAGTCCAAAAGTCTTAAAGTTGGCATGTTTGGAGAACTCTGCTCTAGATCTATTTGCACTCAGGACCCCTTCCCAATTTTACAGGGTATTCCTAAACAGCACTTGTTTATATTTACTGATCTTTTTTCCTCTTATAAATTAAAGTTGATGCAATTGTAAAGTATCTATTTATTGAAACATATGAAAATCACAATATTAAACCTAGATATCTATATAAATAAAAATGTAAATGTTCATTTGTTCAAAATCTTAAATCGCTGAAAGTTCTTCACCGATTGCTTTGAAATTTTGACACAACGTTGCATTTGAATACACGCGTGTTTTTATATACCTACTATTATATAGATGTCACACCTGTGACAGATAAACATGCTTTTTTTTTAAAAACAGCGCCATCTGTTGGACGTAAAAGCAACACACGCTGGACTTCCGGTGGGACGGCGCGCTGATGGCAGCTCTTTTCGGAGCTGTCCTCTTGGGAAGGCGTCAGAGCCAGCATGAACAGCGGTCAGCAGCTGTTCAGCGGCTTGGAACCTTGTGCCCCGGGAGAAGGGGTCGAGGTGAGTATTCCTGGATAGGAGTAGAGTCCCAAAAGCTCTCCCCTTTATTTTGGGAGAGCGGAATTGGGTACTCCTCCGGAGTCTGGGAAATCTCCGTCTCCCAAGTGCCTTTGTTCCCTCTTTTTTGGGAACAAAGCCAGTCGTTGCCTCCACTTCTGTGAATTACAGAGAACTGTGAGTAAATAATAACCAGATGGAACTGACCAGGGAAACTGGACTTGAGCAACTTAAGGCTTTAACTCAATTTATTAACATTTTCTTTAAAGTTAAGCTGAAATGAGAAAAAAAAATGGCTGCGGCTTGCCGTTTTTTTATAAATGAGATTGACTTTCTTTTTTAACTTTCACTTTCCTGCAGCGCGGAATGAAAGGGAGATCGTTACCCCTTGGCTTAAAGTCTTTGATATATATATATATATATATATATATATATATATATATATATATATATATATATATATATATATATATATATATATAT